GTTAAACTTAGCATTTCATGGTATCACAAAAACAAACATTTGTTTGCTAGAGTTGCATAACAATATTATCCTGGAACTACAATGATTTATGAAGCAATACTGTAGTGTTTTGAAAAATTTGTTTATTATTAACAAGACATTACAATATATGGTATTAGGGTCATCACAATAAATAACGAATGTTGCTCACTTGAAATACTTGACCAAAGAATTAAAGTAATTGTTATCATCACTTTATTTGCACAAAAGAACTAACCTCAGAAAATTAATCATTCCTAAAAACATCTTACCACAAATACTTTTAAACTTAATCTAGTTTGATAGTCAGATAAACTTAGAAGCACAAACAAGCTATCTTCTCTCTCTCTCTCTCTCTTTCATTTAAGTAAGTAAAGTTTTATTGATTGAAGTATACTCTTTTTGATTTTAAGCCTATTTTCCTCAAAAATTTATCACCTTCATTTTAGGAAGAGTAAATGAAGTTTCTAACTGATGAAACTTTGTAGAATGGATGATAAGAGTAGAGGACTTTTGAAACGTCGTCTCTACATCAGGCTGTTGGCGTTCATTCTATAAAGTGTCATCATGAATACTCTGCCTAAACAATCTATCAAAGAAGTTTCTAATTGCTGTGATACATTTTAACTCTTCTGACCACAAAATTTGACAGAAACAGCTTTACCTTAGCTTCAAGTTCCCTACACTCTTCAAGAGTTTTTTCTTTCTCATCTCGAAGAAGATGGTTGCTCTCAGTTAGCAGATTCATCATTTCAACCTTCTTCAATAGTTCAGTGTGTTGAGCTTCAGTAAGTGCAAAACTCTAGGAAGAATTAATGAAATAAGCATCAGCCTTTCTGTTCATAGACCACAATATGATCTATGTATAGATCTATACAATATGCTGCCACTTCCATTCATTGATTAAACGACCGTTCCATAGACCACCTGAGGTAAGCAGCTAACTGATGATTCTATTTCTGACTGAAAACATCTATACTAAACATGAGACATTATTAATCATGGCAACATTTAATGGAACAACTGAATCTTGTTAGTTAAAATGTGGGATTTGGCAAGATTTTAAAAACTTCCAAGGTTCATTTAAGTTCTGCTTACAACTTTATATCAGTGTTACAGTTTTTATTATAAAAACTATAAATTATTAACAATGAATAAAAACTTCTTTAAAAGAGTAATCCAAAGAGGTGTAACTGTAATTGTTATAAAATATTGATCTCTAAATATCATCTATTACTGTCTAACATTCCATACAAGGATTATTTTACACTACTAGCTTAGTATAAAATAAATTACAACCATTATAAAAGAACACAAAAACAGTGTATTATTTCTATTCAAGAAAGAGCAATTTTTAGTTCTAATCTAAGTAGCTAGCTTATTCTGATCTGAAACTGATATCAATCCAACATTAAGTTCCACCCAGCATTTTATAAGAAACTATATCATTTTAGTTGAAATTACTCACTATCCTAGCTTTAGACAAAACAATTAGTAAAACCTGCCAAGGAACAAGAACATACACTAACCTGAATATGTTGTCTTTCTTCATTTAACTGTTGAAATTACTCACTATACTAGCTTTAGACAGAACAATTAGTAAATCCTGCCAAGGAACAAGAACATACACTAACCTGAATATGTTGTCTTTCTTCATTTAACTGTTGAAATTACTCACTATACTAGCTTTAGACAGAACAATTAGTAAATCCTGCCAAGGAACAAGAACATACACAAACCTGAGTATGTTGTCTTTCTTCATTTAACTCTTTCCTGGTGGCCTCCAGCTGTTTCTCAAGTTGTTCAACAACAGATTTTATTCGGGTATGCTCTGCCTGGATGACATCATATTTAGTTCTAGCTATGTCTTTTTCTCGTCTTAGATACCTAGCCACATAAAACAATGTAATAAACAAACTGTAAATGTTCTAAAAGAAGTGTTAATTATTTTAAGTCTAACAACTGTCAGAATAACACATTAAAGTTACTGAAGAGTTACGGTAATCATGGTGCAATAATCAAACAATTAAATAACTACCATAAATATTATTGAAATTCTGCCTTATTAATACTCTACCTGATAACCTCCAACAACTGTTCACTGCTTTTTTCATTGTCTTGAGTTGGCATTTCAGACCAGTCCTTTGACTGAAGAGCAGCCATCTGTGAACTCATCTGTGAGAAGCAGAGGGTGAATAAATTCTCTGACCTGTAACAAATATTAGTATCTAAGATAGACCACTGCCATTAGAGCCAAGTTTGTTCTAGTTTTAACTGATAATAACAAATATTAGTATCTAAGATAGCAGGTCAGGTCATACAAAACATACATATGCTACTTGGGATACCTATTAGCTTTTTTACATTTTTTCTGGAATGGGCCATGCACACGTAACTCATTACCAAATCATATATGCCGTTAAAGATCACTTTTCGTAGTGTGATGAGGAGTCTCAACCTTGATATACCCATGAAATTTGGTAGAAATCCAGTCACACTTTACAAAGTTATTAATCCAAAACTGCAAAAATGCCCTTTCTCCCCATTATAAGAAATGCTTCAAAGTGATCCAAAATCAGGATCTGAACAAAATTTGGGGAGGACTGTCCCATATAAACTTCTCATCTTGTGTAAAATTTGTGTGGGAGATCGGTCTATTAGTTTTCGAGATATACGTGCAGAAACACAGACAAACACACACAGAGACCTGACTGCAAAAATGTGAGGCGAAATATATATTTTTTGTTGTTTTTGAAATCCAAAACATAATCTAAGATATATTTTTTCTTATTTACATGTTTGAAAGGATGAAAAAAAAAAAACAAGAGATTTCTGTGAATAAAAGCACGTGTCACTTTGGTAGTTTTCAAATAAAACCCAAAACTAATGCAGACATTCAAAACCAAGTCTCAAAACAATATTTACAATAATTGATAAATTAGAATGTTATTTACATCATTAAACAATATTCTTTGGACTTCATTTTTAATTATCTTTATGATTAAACAATATTTTTTGTAGACTTTGCTTTACTTCTCCTCTTATGCTCCACAGAAATAGTTTAAGGTTATGTTTCAGTACAATAATGTTGACTCAAAAAAACAAAATAAATAGATTTAAACAATAAATAAAACAAAGATTTTACGAGACTAAGGAAACTGATGAATTACACCACTGAAGAACGTGTGATGTTAAAAAGCCACAAGATAAACTGGAACAACCACATACTAAAATAATAAATATCAGACTCCTTCTACATCGAAACATTGAGATCATCATTAACCCTATCTCAACGGGTCTAAGGCCACGTCATCATGTTTGTTGACTTGCATTTGAAATTTTATTGAACTACTATATTATGAATCTATGTCAACAAGTTTGGTATCAAATTGTAGAATATAATTCAAATTTTAGTATCATACATTAGTTAATTTCTTAATTTAAAAGTAAATATTAAAAAAACACAGCTAAACAGCTAATTTGTAGTCATTCAAAAAAATGCATAATTTAAATAAATTTCCCAATTTTTTGTGGTCGTTACAAGGTCGGTCAAATTGACAGACCCCGTTTAGTTAGGGTAGAGAAAATAACATACAAAATATAAAGTTTTACTGAAAATAAACGTTTGAAATGGATTTAGAAGGTTTCAGGTATTACACAACTAATATTTAAGACTTTTGGGACAAAGAATAGTTTTTTAATCATAATACGAAAATCACTTTGCACTTGGACTAGTAATGAAACAGACTTGATATTTTCACAGACAAATCTTTAGTAAAAATACTTCATTAAAAAATCAGATTTTTTGTGTACAAAAGACATGTAATCCTCAGTAAAAGTCTACCAAATTTTGTGAAGATACACGTACAGCATTAAAAGTTATGGTATCAATAGTTAATGTGTACAAGTATGTATATACAAACTCTTGTATTTTATACCGAGCTCGTCGCAAAAGGGTTAAAAAGATATAAAGGCACAGAAATTAACAATCTATGAGCTTTGTTAGTTGAAATCAAGAATCAGCAAAATGATATTTTATTACATATTTTAGCACTAAGAATATTACTGTAACTGAGTTTCATCAATCGGTTAAACAATACTTAATTATTATTTTATTAGAAGTTACAGCTTTTACAGTACAGAAGAATATTTCTAAATTAGGTACCACATTTTGATCATTGGTGCAATCATTCTCAAGTACACAGTAACCCAAATGTCATACTTGTTTTAAAAATATTCTTTACTGTAAAAGCTGTAACTTCTAATACAATAATATTTACGATCAGTAATTAAACTCAAAACAAACCTATTAAAACTAATTATTGTAATAGTGTTGTCACATTTTATCAGCCAGTAAAATTAAACTTTATTACATATTCTAGCACTAAAAAACAAAATTAAACATTGAGAGTTCTACCATGTACAACCAATAATGATAAAATAACAACCAATAATAGTCATTCAGAATCATCAGTAGAAAACAAAAACATATAGAAGTCATAACGAACCAACTGCAACTGTTCATGAAGAACACTGTTTTGAGATTCTAACTGGTCGCATCTCTCAAGCATGTCATCTCGTTCTTTTCTCCACTGGCTCTCTCTTGCTTCCTGACGTTTCACCTGTTCACCAAGCTCAAACTCAGCCTTCTGGGCTGCCTCCTGAGCTTCTCGGATCTTGCTTTGCTCTGTCTCAAGCTGGAAATAATTCTACCATGATATATACATTCACTTCCAAATCAACAATGATACTCTAACCGTACAAACCTGAGAAACTATGATCTAAGCTATGGGTTTCTGTATCTCATTGCAGCAATTAAGATTGTAAATTCCTTCACGAAAAGAAAATAAGTTCAAAGCACAGTAACTCAGTGTGAAACATTTCATTTTCCATTACGTCACTATGAAATATTTAGCTCATCTCAATATCAACCATAATCACACAAGTCGGAGTGAAAGTGGGCATCTCATAAACATTTACAAAGTGCATTCAACATGGTATTATGTATATGATGTTATCAACTATTCATTTTACCCTACATTGCTGGTTCGTGGTAGAGGAAAATAAGTAAAACACAAGGATTAAAAAAACTGTAGATAAGCATTTCGGATGATCTGGAGGTTATGCAAAACATATACATAAACTGTTAAATGGACAGAAGAATTTTCATTTTTCAAATGAACATCACCTAGCACTCTGAACTGTCAGAATCTGAGTCATACTGATGTTGTCAATTCACAGACATACCTGGAGTATTAATATACTTTTAACATATCTGATTTTACTAAAAGACTTCAACCTCCCATATAGGTATCCATATTACATTCAAAATTATAACTGATATTTCTTCTTCAATACGGGATCAGTCCAATGGACTGAGCAGTGCACATTGGACTAAACATTAGTTTCCAATATCTCAGTATAAAACATATTATTTTATGTTATCATTAAAATCATAAATAATTGTTTTATACTGAGGTAATGTAACTTTAGAAACTTGTGTGTCTTTATTATACAAGATATAGACATCCTGGAGGTTGTTATAGCTTTATTATACAAGATATGTGTGAAGTTTCTAATGTTACATTACCTCAGTATAAAAACATCCTGGAGGTTGTTATAGATTTTAATGATAACGTAAAATAATATGTTTTATACTGAGGTAATGTAACATTAGAAACTTGTGTGTCTTTATTATACAAGATATAGACATCCTGGAGGTTGTTATAGATTTTACTGATAACATAAAATAATATGAGCTTTATTATACAAGATATCACATTACCTCCTTCTTCACTGATGTCAAAGCTTCAACATCTGCTGCATGAAGAATCAACTCACGTTCATATTTATCCAGGGCCTGTTAAAGAGAAAGTAGTATTCCTTGAGAAGTTTCAACACATTTAAAATTAAATACTCAACTTGGAAACATTAAGACATCATGAAAAACTTTTAAATTAGGCCTATAAAAAATTGGAAAAGAACTAGAAGCAGAAAACTGAAGAATCATTAAAAGTGAAGTAAACATGAACATTTCAATCTTTTCTTTAAATCCAAAACAACTACATAGATACCTCTCTCGTCAGAAAAACCTGATTCTTTAGATCTTCTCGAGCTTGTGTTTCTTTCTTCGTGGCTTCACTTAAATTTTCGTCAACAGAAACAAGTTTTGCCTGGACAGTGGCTAACTGCTGGTGCAGTTCTAACACCTTAAGAAGAGAACAGGTCAACTTTAGACTAAAGTATACAGTAAAAATTGTATTTAGTTTTTCCCAAAAGCTTTTATTTAATAGTGTTTTAACTTCTTTTATATGACAGGTATTTTGTTTGTAACACAATTTTGTCACTTGACATACTAAGCACTATTTTACAACTTAATGGCTGCTATTAAAGACATCCTAACTATATTCAAACCTGTATAACAAATAACATAGGTTGTAACATGGAACATGTCTGGTCATGCAGGATAACCACATCCAACATCAGCTCTCATCTGCCCAGACTTCACATGGCTTTAAATGTGGAATCTTTGTGTGATTTGTTATTCAGTACGAGCAAACTATAATTCATATTACAATCTACATTACCACACGCTGAAGAAACCTCAAATAATTCTAAATGGAAAGCTAGATATCCTCAAAAGTTTGTTTTATTAAAATAAAAAAGTAGAACTTGTGTATGTGTAAATAAAATTTGCACGAATAGCACATCAAATTCATAGCTGTGCAGCAAACTGATTCTCACCTCACTGTTCAATCTTTCCAAGAGCTGAGAGTTTTCTTTACGAAGCTCTTCTTTCTGTTTTTCTAGATGCTCTATTTTTTTTTCAAGACTCTCTCGACCTGAGAAAAAAATGAAAAATCTCTATCAAGCATGGTTCGCAAGGTGAAGTTTCTACAAATGAAGTAAAAAAAAAGAGAGGTACAGGATTTCTGAAGAAATAACTCAGGAGAATATAAAACTCTAAATGTTTTTTTATAATGCTGAAGTGGTACAAGAAAATAGAAGATGCTTAAATCACTCAATAAATACAATCAAAGACTATTGAAAAACATACAACTAACATGTTAATCCACAAAAAAAATTTCTTAAAAACATAAAAGCCTATAAATTTGGTATCAAATATACTTCATCTATAAATGCAAAATTGTGTTTGAGAAATAATACAGAATAAGAATCTACAAACTACTTAAATGCAACCATAGACTTGGTTTTTATATAAATATACTACCTCTAATGCCCATTTGAAATAGAGAAAACAAAACCCATAAAACACTTGATAATACATGTATATAACAAACATCAACAACACACAACTAACAATTATTTTAATTTCTTTTTGTGGTAGATGAAAGTAAATCTTACTAACTGCAGAAGGTTATGATAATTATGCTTTGCCTGAGCAATGACATTATAATGACTAGCTTGTGTTAAATTTCATAATTCTTGTAGGAGTGGTAAATAAATAAAAGAAGAAAATGTCACAATTCTCATATTAGGGAAAATTCAGGATTTTTAGAAATATTGCTTTATAAAACTTGTATACTATTAAATTATGGATTATTAACTACGTTTTTATGTTATATTGTAAAAAAGTAGTTTAATTAAATTTTGAATGTAATTCAGTAAAACCTCATGATATGTGCAGAAAAAGATGCCCGTGGAGAAAGATTTAATAGATTTTAATAATTATACAAATACAAATTAGATAAGACTACACATTTAAAAGCCCTTAAAAGAGGCTTAATTTTGACCTATTATATGTTGGTACAGTTAAACATGTTCAAGAAAAAAAATTGGAAAAATTAACATGTTTTATTGCTACTAACAATCCAGTTATATTTCATGTCTAAAAATGAATCCTGCACACTAATAATTAAGTATTAAAACAGTTATTTACGTGTATTTAAATAGAAGCTCATGGCACAGGATGTTACACCAGAATACTTGTGAAAACAAAGACTATAAAATCTTGAGTAGACAAGGATTACTTTACACTAGAATAAGTTTTGTACAAACCCAACTCAACTAACCTTCTTCAGAAACTTGCAAGCTGCTCTCTACTGAATCCTTGTACTGCTGGCTGATCTACGAGTCACATAAAGTACATAATGAATAACAGTAAATATACTCCGGGTCTTTCTCAATCATCTGACACATTGATAATGCAGAAGGAAAATGACGTTTTTCAGTCATCCTTTTCAAAAGTGCCTAGCTATTAAACTCAAGACTCCTCTACACATGGATGAAAGTTTAACTACATTAAACATATATAACTGATAAGAAATGATGAAATTACATCAATATTTTTAAAGGTAAATGAAACTGGGAAACATGAAAGCTTTACTTATACTTTAAGCAGACAAAAAAAAGTATGTTATGTACCAGCAGTTTTACAATGATATGTGTGTGTGTTTGTGAGTCTATATATATATATATATATATAT